GGGGGAGCAAGTCAGAGTCCCTGCCACAGTGTGGTTGTAAAGCTATCATGTGTGCAAAGAATCACCCTTGGGTAATGCCGACTGAGAATGCAGGGTAGAGTTGGGATGATGCTCTGTTTGGACTAGCACTCCACTGGTATGACACTTAGGGTATCGTGTGGAACTACCGAAACAACCCAGAATAAATCTCGTGATCATTAAAAGAAGCTTTTGGCAGTTAAATCAAATTGATCACAGAAGGATTTAGAACATGAAGAATTCTTCTTGTAAAGAAGAATATTATTTATTTGTGCTGGCATTAAAAGTACTCATGATACAAAATCTTCAGTCCAGAAAGCAGGAAAGAAATTTGCTATTAACGTTGATGTGATTGCTAGTACTTCCCCAGACCAAACTATTGATGGGATTCTCACCTGCGTAGTGAACAGATTGGTCGGCTAGTCAGTTTTGACACTGAAAGAGAGGGAGGCGGCAGGCTTAATACTGTGAAGTTCTAGAAGAAGTTTTGTGGGACTTCAAAAAAAGAACTTACGAGTCTGCAAAGGTTTTTCAGGACAAATTCTTATCTACATAATCAACATATCTTGGTGGCTAGTTTCCTCTTCAAAGAGAAATATTCTACTGTAGTAATGTAAATACTTGCAGATATTTGAATTTCTTTTAAAATCATAATGCGATGGTAATTAAGGAAATAACTATTAAGATACAGGTTTTTGCCCTTCTGCTGAAGGGGACTGAATGATTAGTGAAGGATGATATAGCTAAATGTAATAATTCAGACTACCACCAGAGTAATGTGAAACGTATTTGAATAATTGGGAGAATTTTGAACACAGTCAGCTGTTTCCGTCTCCCACTCACAGCTTTTTAAAGAGTAATTATCTATATAAAAGGAAAGATGAAGAGTTGTGAATTCATGTAGCAGTTGAGATGTTTCAATTTTAGTCTTTGCCTTATGAAAATGTTAACTTACATAGTTCAGTAGTGGTCTTGCCTTAAGCTATCAGATACAAACTTGCTGATTTATTTTTTTTTCCCAATAAAAGCACAATTATGCTGTTCCCTAATTCCTTGTGGTCAGCCTACTTGCTGTGGGTCTCAGCTGAGCTGGCGTACCCTGGTCGCCTCTAATCCTCCCAGAGTCACCCTTTTGGCTGATACGGTTAGTGTCTGTGCCTTCACCCTCCTGTTGCCTTTGTTCTCGCAGGCGGTATGGCACCCGCTGTTCCCGCTGTGGGAGGCACATTCATTCTACTGACTGGGTCCGAAGAGCTAAAGGAAACGTATACCACTTGGCATGCTTTGCATGCTTCTCCTGCAAAAGACAGCTTTCTACTGGAGAGGAGTTTGCTTTGGTTGAAGAGAAGGTTCTTTGTAGAGTACATTACGACTGCATGTTGGACAATCTGAAAAGAGAAGTTGAAAATGGTAACATACTGCTTTTGTTAAGAACTATGTTTGTGGTTTAGTTTTAATTAAATTGTTGGGTTTTACTTCATCTTCATTATTAAGAGGTAATTACCTAGCTTTACTAAGGCTGGAAGCACAGGTTCTGGAATTAAAACAATGTGCAAATTATTTGATGTTTTAGGTTTTTTTAAGTTTGTGTAACTTGTTTTCTGTCCTAAGGAAAAGAAAGCAAGAGCATATCTAGTTGATAAAATACCATGCTGGGTCTATTCCTTCCCTCACTTGCAAGGGAGTCGGTTGGGGTGTAATGGGTAATGGTGACAGATCAATTTAACTTTGAACAGAATATGGCTTTTTTTTAAAGTTGAAATGCAGCTGGCCAGCTACTGTTGGTTATGGTTGGAGGACAGTCTGACTTACAAATAACATTGTTCTGAGTGTTTAGCAGATGTTGTTTTCTTTTTAATGCTTCAGGTAATGGGATTAGTGTGGAAGGAGCATTACTAACAGAACAAGATGTTAATCATCCAAAACCAGCAAAAAGAGCTCGGACCAGCTTCACAGCAGATCAACTCCAGGTAGAGGCAGTGCTAAAAACTTATATAGTTCAGGTTTGTTCTGAACCGATAGAAAATCGGTTGGAGGGAAAGAAAAAGCTCGCATGCTTTAAACTATTTCATAAACTATCAAGACACAGCATGTTTCTGGAATTGTTTGTTAGCTTCAGCAGTTTAATATGAAATAGTTACTCTTCAAGCTTTTTATTTCCCTGGGGCAGCCAGTAATTCTACAGAGTGGAAACAAAAAGGTTGTTCTATTTTGATTGCTCGATGAGATCTATTTAATCAGGAATTTACATCGCTACACACAATAAAGACAAAATATTTTTAGAATTATGTAATGTGAAGAGTTGTACTAAAGATGGGTACTGTATATGACTTCAAGACGTTAACAGGATGGAAGTTTGAATTTTGTTGTAATGCACAAGGGCTGCAAAAGATGGTGTTCTCAAAACAGGTAAGTATCGTGGGTTCCTGTTTGTGTTCACGTGAACATAGGCTGCCTCCCGGCAACGACTCTTTCTTGTTTTGCTTTGATTTATAGAGAAGATGAGGAATAGTTGTGCATTTATTTCTTGATTGCCCTTTTTCCTCCCAAGATGGTTCTCCTGAATACTTGCTTTTTTAGATCATATGTTATAGTCTTGGCTATGCTCCTGTACACCAGGAAGAGAGACTATCAACAGGGACTCATCTCTGCTTTCCTTCCTTCTCTTCTTCCTTTATTCCAGCCCTTCCAAAATACTTCACGTGATGAGTTCCTCAAAGTGTCTTTGAGCTCTGCCTGCTAAAAATACGCTAAAGTCATTACAGTCGTGGTGTCATATGTCAAGACCTGGCTTCAGTATTTAATGCTGCACATGTTAGTACTTTTTTCGTAAAGCTGGATGGAGTGAAATACAGGGAAAGTGCATTTGAAGTACTTGGCAGCAATTCTTGTACTGTCCGCTTTGTTCTTGAACATGCATTATTGAAGTATGTTTTCCAAATATCCCTTTATACTAGCTCGACCACTCGCTATAATCTTTTCTATGGTCAGGACTAAAGGAAGCAGGAGCTAGGAAGTCTGCACGTACCAAACCAAAGCCCTTCCTGCAGGGTCGAGCCCGCTCGGGGAGCGGGATTGCCTGCATCTGCTCCGCTTTCAAGGCTTCTTGTCTTGTTGCTGCCTTGGCAAGAGTTAGCTCGGGACTGCCTCAGGTGTGAATTATTTCACACTCTGGATCACTGCTTCACTTACATTAGCTTTCTAGGGAAAAACACCATCACCGGGGCCAACTCCCCACGAAAGGGTAGTGGTGAGACCAGATTTAGAAGTTTCAACCTGTAGTGGGAAGGAAGCTGTGGCTTTCTACCGAATCCTAGGTATAAATCCCTGCTTTCAGTTTATAACATGTCTTTGAATTTTGGGTCACGTATGGCCACTACACCATTTGTTTCCTACTGTCTCAGTCTGAGTTCTGTTTTGTTGACCTGTCCTCCTCTTGTTCGTGGTGAAAGCAGTTGAGAAAAGCTAAAGCTGGCATGTGGCTGTTCAAAGCTTGGTTTGCTATTTCAGCCATGACTAGAGACAGAATGTGTTGTTAATACAAAACGAGAATGTTAGCAATAATCTGGCAAGGGCTCTGGACATCATGCTCGAACTTCTGCGAGAGGGAACTTTCTTTTCCAGCAGTAGCCATCGCAACAGGAACTGTATTCAGCGCTGCTTCATGCTTGGTGTCAAGGAAACTTCCATC